CCCGCCCCTCGCATCCCTTTTTTTCCAGAGGGATTCGGGCTACGGCTGTCGGCCTCCGATCCCCCGCGGGCCAAACCCCTCCCCAGCATCATCTTGGGGCTCCCCTCCCCGCTATCGCAGCCCTCGCCCACCCCGGGGAGATCTCAGGTATCGAGGGGAGTCCTAAAGCATCGCGTAAGCTTGTGCTTAGAATTATTATTCTTTTTTTTTTTTAATTATTATTAATTATTTCCACCTGGTCTCGGCCCAAAGTCCCTCCTACAACGCTGTGCACTGTGCTGGAGAAACGAGGTGCCTTTTGGAGCAGAGCCTGGCTCTGCCTCCACGCAACCCGAGGGTGATGTAGGGTTTATTTTTTATTTTTATTTTTATTTTGGAATTTGTAGGGTTTCTTTTGAAGAATTTTTTTTAAAGGCCTTTCTGCTCGCCCCAACGGGTCGCACTGGGTGCTCGGGGGTGGCGGTTGCACCCATTTTGGGGAGTTTTGCAGTAAAAAAAAAAAAGGGGTTGGGTTTTTGTTTTATTTTTTTGCATTTCCTTTGGGGTTGGGCGTTGTTTTGGGGCGCGTTAGGGATTAAAATATCCAGGACAGGGAGCGACTTGGGCGTAAAGTCCCAGTATTCTGCTTTTTCAGCAATATTAGGGTTTTGTGGGGTTGTGGCCCGAGCGGGTGCCACAGCCCCAATAAAACGGGGTGGAGAAATCACCAAAAACCCACTTTTTCCTCCCCGAAAAAAAAAAAAAAGCATCGTTTTGGTTCATCCGGCTACCCGCAACATAGTTTTAGGCGGAGGCTGGAGGAAGAAAATAATCCTAAACCGGGAGGATCTCGGAACGACTCATCTTTAGCTGAGGGTCCTGGGTTAGTGCTGTAATTGTCTTCTTCATGGGGTTTTTTTATATTTCTTGGAGTAAATGTTTAAATAAACGACGTCATTGTGTACCCCCCTCCCTCCGCTCATCGTACCGCCGCGATGCGTCACCCAGAGAGGGGGGGGAAATAACCACTGTCCCGTTTGAAACAGAGCTTGGAACCTTGCACCCAGCGCGGGGGAGCCCAGGAGAAAGCTACAGCCCGTTTTTATTCGGAACGCGGGCCGGTGGCCGGCGCCGCTGAAGGCACTTGCAGGGATGGGGAGAGGGATTTGGGGAGGAGGAGGAGGAGGAAGAACATTGGTACTGGGGCCACTTCAGGGCACCATGTGCCACCATTTGAAGGCGAAGGGCTTACGGCGGACGTTGGTGCCGCAGTGGACGTTGCCGGAGAGGACGTGGTAGGAGAAGTAGTCATCGATGAAGGTGCAGGTGAGGCCCAGGGGCTCCAGCAGCGCCCGCCCCCGCTCCTCCCGGCAG